CGTGCGCTGCCGTCGGCGTTTTCTCCTGCGCGATGCGGCCTATGGATTAGAGTTTTTTATCTTCCAAGGGCTCCGCGCACAGTAAATCACTGTAGTTTGCCTAGACGAAGTTCACAGTAACTGTAACTATTGCAGATTTTGGTGTTTCAGTGAGGCCCTCGTGTGTTTTGAGTGAAAGGCCAAGAAGACCTTTGGTCTGTTTGAAAGCCGAGGGTGGGTCTGTGTTAACATTTAAGTATTCTTGATGAATAGCCAGAACGAGTGATACTGCCCCCTTTTTCCTTCGGTAGACTCGAGTGTGTGGAATTTTTTTAATAAGAAGTCTTTGGAATATTTCCATCTTCTTATTCTGCTACTGTTCAGATAAAACTGTTCACCAGGAAGCTCATGATACAGGACTGGGAATAAGGGAGGGATAGAGAGGAAAAAGAAAGCATGGTTTAGTTGATAAGGTACAAAGAATTGTAACTTCAGTGTTGAAATGATTTAATTTTTAAACAGGAACAAATAGTTGCTCTAGGTGAAACTTGAAGTGCCTGCTAACCTGTCACATTCAATCTTACCATTTGTTGGTGCAGGTCCTAGTGATGCATCTCCCGATGAAGGAGTAGTGGAAGATCTGCCTTTAATAGATGAGAGAGCTGTGGAGCAGCTAACTGAAGGATTGATCTCTTATTATCTGCCTGATCTTCAGCGGTCAAAATCAGCACTACAGGAACTTACGTAAGCAGATTTTTAAAACCAGCTTCCTATACAGGCATACTTTGCTTGTCGCTTTTTTCAGTATGATGTTCTGGCTACCCTTATATACCTACCTATACTGGAATATAGTTTATTGTAGCGTTTCTGTGGTCTGACTGTAGCATCCTGAATAGTGAAGTGGTTTGCTGGAGTACTGTGGGGTGTGTAAGCTGCAGCGTAGCCTATCAGAACCTTGACTGAAGAATTTATAATGCTAGAACACTAAGATCCTCTAAGCCAGATACAGCAGGAAACATGTAGATCTCTTAAATACTTGTTCACTTGTGTAGTGGAAAGTCTGCTGAAAGCTAAATTTATTTCGTTTGTAGAGATGCAGTTCATATTCAGGGCAGCTTTTAGTGTGGTATAGTTTGTTGTCCAGTCTCTAAACCGTGTTGCAAAAGATACACTTGGAAAATAAAATTAAGGAGCTAAACAGATAGAGATCTTTGTACTGAGAATAGTTTATTCCAAATTCAGAGTGGATCTACCACAGATGCAAGGATACTGGAAAGGGCTTTACACAGATCCATCTCGGGTTTTGAAGGGTATGTCAGTTTGGGTTTCACAATACATATGTGGTTATGCTGCTGCCAACGACCACCTGTGTCTGGAAAGACTTCAGCTGATTTGTGTGGGATGGAAGGTACTTAAGTGCTAAGGATCCGTGCAAGTTCTGTACAGAAATAACTTCATCCTGCAGCATGACGCAGAGGCAACTGAGTGGAAAGTCAAGAGCTAATTGTTTTTCCCTTCGTTCAACCAGGGGTGTTTACTCACTGCAACCTGCAGAGTGCCTGTTCTGGGGTTTTGGATATTCGTCTTGGATATCTTACCATGCTGTATGGTGCCAGCTGAATTTGTGTGTACTCAGCTGGGATTTTTCTAAAACCATTTACTCGTGTCTTTCCTGAAATCACCTAGCAATGCACAAGAGGAATCTGATATTGGGAAGCATGTGTATATATATTGTTATGATCAAAAGTGTTATTTATTTAAAGGGCTGATGGAAAGGCAAGCATGTGTGCTGCTTTACTTTGGTTTTATGCCTCTTTTTTGTTTCAGACAGAACCAAGTGGTATTACTAGAAACATTAGAACAAGAAATTTCTAAATTCAAAGAATGTAACTCCATTCTTGATATCAATGCTTTGGTAAGTACTATTAATGCTTTCTTAAATCTCTCTTAGTGTAGATTTTCTTGCTGAGGCATTAGTGGCAACTTGTGGATTTTCCTTTTTCTTAATGACCTACAGGAGGAAAACCAACCAGTTCGGGTATTTGGGACAAAGTGTTGCTTGCGAGGGTGCAGAACTGGCATATTTCCCTTAAATAGGAAGGGCACTGGGAAGAAAGAGCAGGCTCAGTCAGCTAGTGGTAGTAAGTCTAGTTGTTCAAAACCAGTAGCCGAAGCAAACGTGTGCCGTTTCTCGGTAGGACTGAGGCTCCTACATGAGCTCTGTGCACCTCTCCAGACCAGCAGGAAGGGTCCATGAAACACTGGTATATGATGCATAAAATGGTAATATTTTCATTCTGTTTAATGAATCTTAGTTCAGTAGATTACTGGGTTGAGATATGATAGTTTTCTGGATTCGTACCTGTAATATGTAAACTTATATAAAACTTGAACATGTTTAATCCATTATCAAACTGTCCTGGTAATCGCTATGGTTTTGATTGCTCTTCTGCTGTGTAGCTTTATAAAACAACTATTCCAACTCGACAGTCACTGCTTTAACTGTTACGTTTTTTAAGTTTTCAGAAGCTAAACACTATCACAACAAGTTAGTGAATATTAGAAATGAAATGATGATGCTCCATGAGAAGACATCAAAGTTAAAAGTGAGTAGGATAAATGTTTTTACTTTCCAACATAGAAGTCAAGAATATGTAATTAAATATCTAACTTTTATTTTGGTTGCATGCTGAAAGTTCTGGTTAAAATAGAATCTTCAGTGCTTTTCTTAAATGGATGTTTTCAGTAGTGCCAAACCGTGTATGTTTTTAAACTTTCACTTACTCCTGCCTGTGCTCAAGCAACTTACGCCTCTGAAGTACTTGTAAATCTCAGTGTCATTATCATGTTCAGGTGGTATAAGAGTCATGCTTTGTTCTATGGCTTAATCCACTCCATTCCAACTGGTTCTCTTTGTTGTTTCAATGTCTGTGCCTTTTTATAAGAACTAGATGGACATAAATGTCAGAATGTCTCCTATTTAATGTCATATTAAGTGCCTTAAGTTGGCTGACTTCGTGCTATGTAGGCAGCCTCTGGTTACAGTCTGGCAAGATTAGTCCTTCGGTATGTTCAACAAAAGGATTTTCTGTTGGAGGCAATAAATTGCACAGCATGGACCTTCTCTGGTGTGCATGAAGGACGACTTTTAGTGAGACTGAAAGGAATCCAGTTTCTATTTTCCCTGTGTAGGTCACAGGCTTGTTGCTTCTGAATGGAAGACGGAATTGGGATGAAATAAACCTGAACAGTTTATGCAACATTCCACTATAAGCAGGGTGGATTGGAGAAGATGAGAGAGTAGGAGGGATTTAGTTTGTAGCTCTGACTTAAATACACCTATAAAACTTACAGTTACGTTGTCTTTCCTGTTTAGAAAAGAGCACTTAAGCTGCAACAAAAGAGGCAGAAGGAGGAACTAGAACGAGAACAGCAGCGTGAGAAGGAACTTGAAAGAGAGAAGCAGTTAACTGCAAAACCTGCTAGGAGGACATGAAAGCAGAGCATGCAGCAACTTGTCCGAAGTAATCCTTTCTGCATTCCCTGGTACTAAGGCAGACTTTGTTTAAACTGGGCTATAGCTGTTGCTAGCAACAGTCTACTCTATGATATTACAAATTCCAGAATGGTAATAATAGGGTTGGTAACATTGGATTTTTTTCATTTCAGCCATTCAAGTTGCCTTCTTTTGTAATGCTATGCAGTTTGATATTATTATAACGTAAGTTAATTTTTATTGTTTTTTTAATATATATGTATACAGGAGAACTTAGGCATCACAATTTTAAATACCTATCTGTTTTTTTTCTTCTGATCTTCTGGTATTTAGAATTCTGAGAGGTATTTGGTGACTGGCATACGTGTTTTTCAGACAAAATACAGAACACTAGTTAAAGTTCTGTTCTCATCCCTGCACTTTGGTGGCTGCCTGTTTCACTGAAACAGCTTTGATTTAGGCAGTTGGGATCTCTTTTCAGTGTCCTGGTTCATAAATACTGTTTACATCACTAATGAACTGAAGAAACTTCCAGTGCACTTGCCTGAAAGCTTACTTTATTGCAGCAGTCTTATTTTTTTGTCATGAAGTAACTTAAGAAGAGCTTAATAACTTCTGAATAATTTTCCAGCTGAATTAGTTGGGGCAGGTGGAAGTAGAAGACTAAAGATGCTCAGAATTGATGTGCGCACAATATAAACATTAATGAATTTGTGCTTCCACGAACATTTGAGTCAAACCAGGGAACTGTTGCTTCTGTAATGGTTCAACAGGATGACTGTAAGGTCTAAGCAGATTTCTGGGGGATTGGAAGTTGTAGTTTCTTCATTTCATGTGCAAAATATAACACAACTGAAACTATACAATTTCCACTTCATGTGAAATTCAGTTACCTGTAGCAAAAACTACTGCATTTATTTCTTTTCCTTAACAAATTATTCATTTGCAATCCAGGGCTATGTAAGAGAAATTTTGTTACAGTGTCCTCCCTAAATTGATTATTATTAGTGTATACTGATGATAAATGTGGAATGGAGGTTGATACCCATTTCTCTGAATTTAATTGCTTTCTTGCAGCACTAGGTGTGAACTACCATTCAAATGAATATCTGTATTGTCTAGACTGGTGAAAGAGCTTTAAACTATTTGTTCCTAGTCTAACAAACTAGCTACATTACTACTTACAAAATAACACAGATAAAATAAGTGGTGTGTTTTGAAGTAAGATGAAGGGTAAGCTACGTAAAGCTTTCCATCAAATACATGGTGCAAGGTATCAGAGGGGCACAGTCAGTTTTACTCCTCCTTCCCTTTCAGATGACGTGCACATGACTGCTTAGACTCTCTTGTGTTACAATTTTCTGAACTTCTCATTTCCTGATCTTAATATTTGTCATCTTTTTTTGTGAAAGACATACTGTAACAAGTAACCATCCAACATGCAGGGTCAACTGGGATGATGTTTTGGTGCCAGGAGAACAAGCTACTTAAAGTAGTCTGAAGGGACTCTAAAACGCTGTTACTGAAGCAGTAATATTAAAACTTTCCACAGGTGCTTTTCCTTTAGGTTGGCTTGTGTCTGTTAATTGCCAGTGGATTGTTGAACTGTGCTGTGGTTTGTATGTATTTCTAAGAGAAATGTAAAGAGTTTCCACAGTCCGTTTTTGGAGCAGAATGTACAGAACTAAATATTGTTTAAATATCTTATTTTGTAATGTAATTTCAAAACCAGATTCTGGGAATGTAAACCGTTCTTATTAAAGTATAATATGAAACTAGATGCCTCGGTATCCAAATTGGGATTAAATTCCTGTGGTGTTTCTTGATTTGTGTTCCCTCATCTAGAACCCAGTCTAGCGTTAGAAGGTGTGGTCTCTCTCTGTGAAGAACTGTGTTTGGTTTTTTTTGGTTTGTGTGAAAAATCGTGGCTACTGTTACGGAAAATACAGAGTTCTAAGCATATAAATTTATGCTTTTGCAATTTTATGTTTCAGTTTTTGGGATAATTTCTGATCAAACAAATAAAAGCTTGGAGAGCTTGCCTGAGGAACCACATACACATATGGAAAAATGTAATTGATAACTTTTCCTATAAAATTGTAGTAAAATCTGTGTTTTGTATGAATAAGGAATTAATTTGGCTAAATGACCTTTCTGCAATAAAGGGGGAAAAATGAATTAACACATATAGGGGGAAGTTTGGTCAGTTTACATAACTTTTTTTTTTTTATTATCAATGAGCTCTTAAGTTATTTCAGTTAAAACTGCAATTCATTATCTCCATAGGATGTTGTTGTTCTAAATACTCTTCCTGTGCCTCAATGCATAAAACGTAAATGCCGCGTTGGATTAATTTAACAATACTGACATCTAAAATGGTATGTTTGTATTACTATGCACAGCTACAGTAATTGTGTTACTGTATACATTTAGTCTTGCTTGATTTTATAAAAAAATTACTTCTCAAGTAGATAAATATGGGTAGAGTTAGACATTTCTCACTGGCTTTTTACTCCATCCACACAAGGAGGCGCAGCTGGCTGCATCTTTTTTAGAAACGGAGAAAACAACAGCTTTAAAACAGTCTTTTTTTTTTTTTTTTTTTTACTGTTTCATGCTCAGTGTACTTGTTTTTAAACTATCAAGTCACAGCAGCAGAAGTAAGGCACTTAACCGTGCAGTAACTCTTTGGATTTTTATTTTGTGAAATTGTACAAAACTAACTGGGGAATCTTGGTTCCCCATGCTTTTATCTTCACTGTTGTTAACCTGAGTGCTTAATTTGCGTTCCCCTCTGTATACCTGTACAGCTTTACGTGAGCCAGTTTTTAATTCGTGAAGTCTGGCTTTTTCACTAATAGTGGTAGCTTTGCTGTGTTGATAAGACAAATATTTGTTTCCTTTTGGAAAATGGCTACAGAATGTTATCTGGTTTTATTCTGTGTGCTGTGACCTAAGCGATAATAGCGTAAATAGAAATGTAAAGGTTGTTTCTGTAGCTGTTCCGTTGGGATTCTAGCAGCTGAGAGAGCTCTCTGGCTTATTTATTTTGCATTTTGCTTTAGTAGATGCTTTCTGCCACCTACTGCTGGCTCTGCCACCCTGCTGGCTGTTGTTTATTTTAATCCTGAGCTTGGTACTTTAAGGCCTCACCTTGCAGGGTCAATTTTTTTAGACCTCATTAAATCCAGCTGGTTATTTGATCTTTGTTGTGTGAATATAACTAAACTACTAAACACTGAGAAGTTCCTCTGAAAGGATTATTTGTAATCCTGGGGTGCCGGTGGCCCAGAGGAGGGGTGCAGCCTGGCAGCGTGTGTCCAGCCCTCGCATAGCAGCTTCCTCCGTATCTTCCTGCAGGACCCTGCTGTTTTGGGAGGGTTGGGCAGCCCTCCCTGCAGCTGCAGGAGGGTTCTGTGCTACAGGTGAGTAGTTTCTTCATATTTGGTTTTTGTGTTCTGTTTCTAAGTTAAGGTATTCCATTTAAGTAATTTCTTTATGAAAATTGCAGACCATCTCTGTAAACAGTGGAGAAATGTGCATGGGAGCATAACGAAGATACTTTAATATTTAAAAAGCCTAAAAACGTATGTTTTAAACAAAACCAAAACAACTTTCTTTTCTCATGGATCGAGATGAGGATCAACCTCTTGAAACAAAACAAATGGGGGGAAAAAAAGGCTGTACTCTGACTATATACCAGGGCAGCTGGGAACAGGAATTCAGGAAGCTCCTAGAAATTACAAAAACGGGCAGTTTGGGTGTTTTAAAAGATGTGACTGTAGACTGGTGGTTTTTTTTTTTTTCTCTTTAGGGAAGTCACTTGTATTAACAAAGATGTCTGATCTCCATGTCATATTTTTAAAGATACTGATTGTGTCTTCTCCCAGTACATTTTCTCCCCAGTAAAATCCATGAAAGTGTAGGTGTTCAGCAGCTTTGAAAAGTGAGCCTTTGTCTCCACATGGGAATGCAGTGTCATCAGAGGTCATTTATTTATTATTAATTATTGCTCTAGTAAATGTGTTGGTGATTTTTTTAATCCAAATTTAATTATTTTGCTATTTTTCTGTCTGTAGAAAAGGACCACTAGATTAAGGTTTAGAGTTGCTGCTTACAGGTAACCTGATGAAGTTCAGATAGTGACGTACCAGTGGTCACTGGGTTACAGCTACTGAGTGGTGGTGATTTTGGTTTAGGTCCATCTGAAGTGAGTGACCCATGGCTAAGTGGATCTAGCTGGGAATTGTAAGCTGCAGCTGGGTTTAGATCAGGGTTTGGCAGGGGGCCAGATTTAGGTTTGAAGTTTGTTTCAAAATTGACAGAAGCACATGTATTAGGGTTTTGTTTTCAGATGCACTCAGAAGTGAGGAAAGGGAAGGCATTAGACTAAAATTGGGAGGGAGGGTTTATTTACATGACAGTGCTTTTGTGTAGAACGATGATGTGCAGATCTTCCGTGGAACTAGTATTAGAAGTGCCAAGTTTTACGCAAGCAACAGGAAAAAAAATTGTTTGTTTCAGAGGCCGATTGACTTTGGGCTTGCTTATTATTACATTTACACGGTTTAGCCTGGTGTAGCCGGTTCCACATAGCTGTGGAAAGTGTTGCAGAAACTTCACATACATGTATATGCAACACATACATACATACTCAACACCGAGAAGTTCCTCTGAAAGGATTTTTTTGTATCCTGTCAAAATTAATTATATGTTTTGGGCTAAACCTGGTTCTTGGACTTGTTTTGTGTATTTTTGTGAGAACAGCCACAGACTGGGAATGATAGTGTGTGTTTTTACAAACAGGCAAAATGAGTTGTTGTAGTTCAGGTAGTAAGTCTCTTGCCTCATCTCCAGCAACCTCTGTACCTGGCAGGGAACTGCTGTGAGAACAGAGGGAAATTGTCAGGCTTGACTTTCTGATCATTGGCCTTCAGCTGTAAATTGAGAAAAGCAACTGAAGCTTCTTTTCTACAAATAGAAGCTCAAAGTAACACCAAGTGTAAGATGAGTAGCACAAGCAAGCCAAGAGTACTAGCCAGTTTGCTACCGGCGGGCTGTGAGGAGCGGCAATGCTCTTGTGCTGAAGGAACGACAGCTGTGCGGCTGGGACAGAGGAACTGTCCGTGTTCGGAAGCGCAGGATATGATTGCAATGTGTGTGCCTGGAAGCCCCAGGGGACTGACACACATACTAATTCTCAAATGGGCACCCTGCACAATGTCTCATTTCCTTCTGCGTCTCAATTGCATGCAGAAGGCAGAACAGCCTTGTGGTGTCTTCCCATTTACCTCCTCAACACCTTTCCCACAATTCCTTATAGCTTTCCACAATCAGCTGCATATCAGCTGAGCCGTTTTACCTGTGCAGAAACTTTGTACCAAGGGGGGAATGTTGAGCCTGAGGAGGAAACGGCCTGACACATGGTTTGGATCTG